GTGCCAGGATGAGGATGAGGAAAAGTGAAAGAGTATTTTCCACTGCATTGATCCTGTTTGGATCTTTGCAATGTTAGAATGTTTAATCTGATTACAAATGTCAGTAATAAACATACAATTGAATTTATACATTTATGACAATTTCATTAAAAACTGAAGCATTTTGAGCTTCATAATCACAGATGTTAAGGTGGAGGTGTTGCACTGAATTGCATACAGGTGTACCTAATAAAGTGGTCATGACAACCAACCCTACCGAGGTGACAAACCCTCAAAACGATAAACAAGTCAGAGTAGGAATAGGAGTATTCGAAAAATAAAATATATTAAAAGTAAACTAAGCTACATCACCGGTAACATGAAAATATGATTTGACTGATATGGGACTGAAACACTCTGTCTAAACAGGTTTCAGTCAGAATGCAGGCGTTTCTCTTGTCACCTGAACGTCTAATTCAAAAACAATCTGCTTTGATCTTCTGCTATTACATCTGTCTGGCTGCAGGGATTTTCGCCCATTCAGCCACAAAGTGACATCGAACACTGAAATTGGATAATAAGGCCTGGCTTGCAGCTGGCATTCTAACTAAACCCAAAGGTGTTTCTTGGGGTTGAGGTCATGGCTTTGTGCAGACCTTACAGGTTCTTCCACACCAAGCTTGGAAAACAATTACTTTATATGTATCGATTTGTGCACAAGTGCATTAAAATGTTGAAGTATATCCTCTGCCCTGTAAACCTGCTAGTTTGTGTCGCATTAAAATAAAATAAATTGACTGTGCAGCACAAAAAAATAAAAGACATGGATGCTCATACCAGCGCACCATACTGAACAACCTGCAGCAGATACCATAGTCTGCTTCTGCCATCTCTATCTATTTAAACTCATCCTTGGGTACAAACCTCTGTTTAGAAACAGAGAAGCAATGTGAACAGAATTACAAAATGCAGGTGCCTTTTGAAAAACAAGGGTCAGTCTATGTCACTGAGCAAAATGAAACTTCTGAAGTTCAGGTGTTACTGACTTTGAGTCTACATGAGGCCAGGCTGATTGAGAATGAGTTACTTAGCATCTTAACTTGGATTACTGCCAGCTGCTTTTTAAGATCACCTAAAGTTACTTTGGATAAATGATTACCAGGCAGAAGAGGAGGAGGTAAGGGACTGTACCTGAGCTCACAAACCCCTCTGACAAAGCATGAGCTGCACAACAGTTAATGAACATGAACACACAGAAAATTCACATACTGGGCGCCTGATAACCGAGTGGTTCTGGCGGCGCACCATGTGCACATTGTGTGCTTGACATCTGTCACAGGTCTCATCCCCTCTCTGTCTATACCTCCCCCGTTTCCTGTTTCCCTAGAAAAAGTCACACAGCTAAGTGAGGATGAGGAGGTGGAGAGTGATAACTTTCTGAAAGGTGAGTAGCAGTGATTACACAGCGCTCAGTGTTTTAATATGCAGTCTGAGTAAACAACAATAAGGACAGCATGTATTTGTACCTACATGCTTGCTTGAACTACCACAGGCTCTTTTAAGCCCTTAAACTGATATAAACACAATGTAAACAACAGAGGTTTCAATACATCTTGGGCTTCGAAAATGTGCTCTGATGCAAGAAACTGCAATTAAATCTGTTAAACATTATAGATATAATGTTTTGATGAGAAACACTGTTCTAACATTGTTTTATTTATTTATTTTTTATTTTTTTACAAGGAAAACACACCAGTGCACCTTTAAATAAAAAGGGGATATTTTTATTGCATATTGATATGCAGAAAATCTCTACCGTGATCTAGCCTCAGCTGTTCTGTTGAAGTGTACATCCATCTACAACAATGCGCTTTGACTCTTAGTCTTTTTCTTCTTTCGGCTGTTCCCGTTAGGGGTCACCACAGCGAATCATCTGTTTCCACCTAACTCTGTCCTCGGCATCCTCTACTCTTACCCCAATTAACGTCATGTCCTCTTTTAGCACATCCATAAATCTCCTCTTTGGCCTTCCTCTTGACCTCTTGCCTGGCAGCTCCATCTCCAACATCCTTCTACCAATATAACCACTATCCCTCCTCTGCTCCTAAAGAGAACCTCAACATCCTCATCTCTGCTACCTCCATCTCTGCCTCGTCTTTTCCTCACTGTTACAGTCTCTAACCCATACAGCATAGCTGGTCTCACTACTGTCTTGTACACCTTTCCTTTGATTCATGCTGCCACTCTTCTGTCACACAACACTACTGACACCTTTCTCCACCCACTCCAACTTGCCTGCACTTGCCTCTTCACCTCTTTCCTACACTCCCCATCACACTGGACTGTTGACCCCAAATACTTAAACTCCTGCACCTTCTTGACCTCAGCCCCCTGTAACCTCACTGTTCCACTTCCCTCCCTCTCATTCATACACATGTATTCAGTCTTACCACGACTGACTTTCATTCCTCTTCTTTCCAGAGCAGACCTTCACCTTTCTAGGTTTTCCTCCACCTGCTCTCTGCTCTCACTACAGATCACAATGTCATCAGCAAACATCATTGTCCACAGAGATTCCTGTCTGACTTCATCTGTCAACCTGTCTGTCACCATAGCAAACAAGAAGGGACTCAAAGCCGATCCTTGGCTTTTTTCCCCATTAGGGGTCACCACACTGACGATTCGCACGTTGACATTTGGCACGTGTTTTACGCCGGATGCCCTTCCCGACGCAACCCTGACCTGAACCTGGGCCGCAGTGGCAGGAGCGCTACGCCCTAACCACTAGTCTATCAGGGAACCTGACTCTTACTCAGTGCAGTTTAAATTTAACATGTACTGTAATGACTCTTGAGGCTGTCACCTCAAAGTTAGCCCTTTTTATTACTGATGCACCTATGCTTCGAGCACAGTTTGACCCCTTTGGAAGATGGTCAACTGATTTGTGTTACTTCAAGAAAAAAAATAAATAAAAATCTATAAACCATGTACAGTGGTGACTTCTTTTAAAGCTGGCACAAACTCCTAATTAGCATTCAAGACATAAGAAGAAGAAGCAGCTTTATTTTACCGTCACTGTAACATTGTGACACGTACAACGAAATTTTGTTTGGAGCTGAGGGCCCCAGGCCACTGCGTGCATACACGCCACCATCACGGGCAACTTAGGGGGTTCAGTGTCTTGCCCAAGGACACTTCGACATGTAGACTGCAGGCACCAAGATTCGAACCCTAAACCTTCCGGTTGGGAGACGACAATATAAGATATATAATATAAGAGTCATCTGTGTAGGTGCTTTAGTAACTTCAAAGTGCTTTTTCATTTGGCGTTTCCGCTATTTCTGCACATGCCCAGTAGGCAGTCATAAAGGGTCCCATCTTTTGTAGGTTGGGCCAGCACAGAAAATGTTCCCTTTGATATAACCTCTGGTGTTTCTCTAAAGTATGTGAGGAAGACAGAGGGACCCAGCAGGGCTCTTCATTACCCTGTATGAATGCAGCTCCTCCTCCCCACAGTCGGAGTCACTGTGATAAGGGTCATCAGAGGTGGTCCAGCTCAGAGCACCCTCCTTCTTCCAGAAGTCACAGACAGGAACACCCCTGGGAATCTACACACGATGGAGGGTAGAACAGACAGCAGAATGTCAGTCGGTAACTCCCCCACTCTGTTAAGTCCATGTGTTACTGACTTAATGAACTTTAAGTCTTTTGTGACTCTGTATTGGTCTCTTTTTTACATTTTGTGTCAATGTAAAAATATTTTGATTTAAAAAAAAATCAAGTCTGACCCATTCTTTAACATAATGAAAGCTAACACTAAATTCCAATGAGGAAAAGAAGGCTCTGCACTGTAACTTCAAGCTCATTCCATATTAACATTTACTTGCCTGTGACTGCATTCACTAAGTTTGTATTACTGTCACTTTAAGGTTACATTTTTGTTTTCTAATTGACCGTTTGTCCTTGTTTAGTTTCAGTTATCCTACTAAACTGCTACTTTAGGAATAAGTTAATAAGTTATTACATAGTATTTTAGAGTCCAACTTTGAGAAATTGCAGAAAAATGTTTCTTACTTCTTCCATGACCAGGATCCCACAGCGCACCAGACTGTCAATGGCATCCAGAGCAAAACTATGGGATGACTGACAGGGCTGGAGAGAGAGAGAGAGAGAGAGAGAGAGAGAGAGAGCGCGAGATAAAGAGAGAGACAATGTTTAAGCTCAATAATGAAGCCAGGTTAGAGGCACCAGCAACCTCAGCCCATCAGGTAGGAGGTAGACAGCTGACAGAGAGCATTAGGTAAGTAGTAGAAATGTAGCAGAGATCAGAGGAGAAAGAGAGATGGCTGGCAGGGGGATGAAAACAGGAGCGCTATTTTTCGATGAGCAATGGGGTGTGAAACATAGCTGCAAGCAGAAGACACAAGAAAGAGCCACTGCTGAAATGAAAGGTGGGCAAACAGAGAAAGGAACAGTATTTCTGGCTCAGATTCGGAGCCCTTGAAGTCAGTCTGATGGAGCATGTACACAGCTACACAGTACACACACACAATCCAAAACTACACCATCCAGCAGAGCAGGATGAATGGGTGTTCAGCTCCATTAAACATCCATTGAAGACACATTTTGTGTGTGTGTGTGTGTGTGTGTGTGTGTGTGTGTGTGTGTGTGTGTGTGAGAGAGAGGGAGAAATGGATTCTGACTCACTGGCATGAAGCCTGGGGGAAGGAGATGGCAGAGCTGCAGGGCTCTCTCAGTCAGCTCAGACTGGCACAGCACCACATCAAACTCCATGTCACCTCTGACTCTGTCCCCATCCACGCCGTCACTCCTCACCCTGCTGCTGATGCCACTGATAGCAACCTCACACAGCATGGCGGACACTGCACACGCTAAGACAAAACACATAAGCATCAGAACACTTTCTTTAGTCCTTTAAGCATATACATACCGCGGGAAATATGGTGATTGGCATTAGCCAAAGTAAGCAGGTTTTGGTCTGTAAATTAGCTAAATATCTCAGTTTGGCTAAAATATGTTGGACACCAGACACAGTCTTTTACACAAGTGATATGTCTTTATTTACATTTTTATCCCTATTATCTTCTTTTCATGTACAAATAGGAAAACCCTGACATCCATATTGTTCATGTCCATTAATCAAACTGCCTTCACAGTCCATTGTGCTTTAAGGGGCTTTCAACAGTACACAGCCCACTGCCCACCAGCTTTACTTCCTTTACAACCAAAACAAGTCATGCAGGAATAATGAGTCATGCAGGAACAAGAGATTTTATTCCATAGTCCAAGTAGCTTCCGGTACATCAAAACCACATTATTTTTACCTCCAGCAGTGATGTTAAAGGCTATCCATGGCTTCACACCATTCTGTCTCTTAGCATCATATCTAAAAACAAAACAGCTGCACACTATACATGTGAATAAAGCTGAGTCAACTAATGACTCTTGGCTCAAGGATGAGCTGACATAAAACTCTTGTGAGGTTTTGATCCAGGCTGTCCATCAGTCGATGATTACCATCTATTTGGCCCTTTGCATTATGCGGTGTTTCCAGCTCCAATGTCACAGAGGAATGCCAGAACTGGCCAATTCAGCAAAATCCTGGATTATGTTCAGTGCCAGAGTTTTTGAAATTCTCGCTTTTTGCAATGTCTGCACATGGGGGACAGAGTGTAGTTAAGGCTAGGCAAAGATTTTTGTTATGGGAAATAAACTGTAGAGTATGTAGTAGTTAACACTTGGGTTAAATTTAGAGAAGAATCATCATTAGAACAGAAGAAACACAAACATTAATTAAGTCAAACTCACAACTTGCCCATCAACCATCCTGACTTTCTGCCTGGCTACCTTGAGTGCACCTCTTTCCTACACTGGCAGTGGATGGAAATTTTGAGGTGCATAATCACCCAATATGGGTGCAATTCCAAGGGATATTGGGGTGGTATTCTATATGCTGATGGAAGGATCCAGTATCCAGGAGTTTTAAAGCAGCTGCTGAGAAGAACTGCATCAAAGTGACCTTATAATAATAAACTCACACACAGAAAATAATTGAAAAACTTTGCAGGGTTGTATTTGCCTGCAGAGGTTTTAAACTACTACATGCCTTCCAGTCTAAATACGTTATATTTAATTAGCTATTAAGATGCTACATGCTAGAGTTGCTAAATTTAACTAGAAATGAAATAATGTCTGTAATAACTCTACATAATGTAAGCTAAATACATGATTGGACAAAGCAAGTCATCACAGATGCTGGGGTGACTTTAGTGTTTATGTTTCATAATGTAAACGAACATGCAGGGGAGTGTAGCTGCCCGTGTCCTGCTCAGGGACGCTTTAGCAGGGCAACTGTTAACTTTCCACTAGGACACTTTTACTGGGTTTAACTGAAATCAAGAAGTCTTTTACAAAAAAATACCTGAGGCTAAATTACATGCAGTACATGCATTCTGCCTTTCTGGGATTTAGAACAAGCTCTAAATCGAGGCCAGCAGATCATCAAAAGCAGGCTGTAGCATGGAATAGGCCTGGCTTGAGAACATCAGAGTCTTCGAGTTGAATTATAGTTTCCTCATATTATATTGCTGCCTCACTGCCATGGATGACTCACTTGTTAAAAGGGGCAGCACTTCAATTTTAAGGGTTTTGACGCTGGCAGTCTCTGAACATCACATGTACTGACACAACTGGAATTTTAGAAGAAAACAAGAACTGACAAAAGAAACGGTTCAAACCAGCGTGAGAGCTTCAGTGTCGCTAATGGTCTGGGGGGAAGTCTGCTGTTGCATGCACAGCACTGTGACACAGCTTGAAGCTTGGCATTCCTTAAGCATTAAAAATATTAAGTTGTAATACTTTAAAATGCCATGCTTAGAACTGATTTTCCATACTGACATGCCAACAGTTGGAGCCACAGCCAAGGCCTCCCACGAAAATAAGTTGCCTGGAGAAAACAGGGTCTCACCATGATATTTAGGCTTAAGCTTGTCAGCTACACGAAATACAAGCATGCAAAGTCACTCACCACCAACAGCTTCCAAGATAAAAGTGTGTCTGACAATGTGGGCCTGAAGGTTGAGGTGAAGTGAGGCGGCAAGAGAAGGGCGGGGTATAATAAATGGGTCTTTTCTAGAAGAAAGGACACATGACCAAATGCAAGACAGGCCATTAAAGAAAGCAGAGGTTTCCCTCAAAAGTAATGTTAAATCTTTGATAAAGCAAAGTAGTTTTTCAGTGTTTAAAGCTGTTTTTTGTTTTTCTTTTTGGATGGACAGTCAACCGACCTAGACGGCACTGCAGCAATGATGAGGTGAGGGGTGAGCAGAGAGAGGGAATGATGGACAACCTCCGCTAAACTTCCCCCAAAGCCGACGTCCTTGTTCTTCAACAAGACTTCCTCCGTGAGCCAAACCACATCACGACACAGGGCAGATAGACTCACACCCTGCGGAGTACAAGGATGGAGAAGTTTGATTCGAAAATCAGACATGAGCATTTACCATCTGGTGGGTATGACTCAGAAAAACACTGTCACACTAGCACAAATACCAATTCTTTCAGTATTGATCGATCATTAGGGGCAGGGGCCGATTTTAACTTTGACAGCAGCAAGGAGAAAACTGATCTGTAGACGCAGGGGTGATGCATATACCTTGCGGTGTCTGTACAGCAAAAGACTGGACACCAGACTGGTGGACATCACAGCTGTGCAGGAGGTTGCAGCTGCAAAGAGAACACACACAGACACAGACAGATAATGTGGCACAATTTGCATGCCATTAAAATACCAGTGTTAAAAAAAATCTTTTACGATTCAGCAGGGGTACATAACCCTACAAAAGATGTGGTGGAGGATGATGACGGTGCTGAGGTCTCTCTCTGGGTCAGATGGCTCAAGTTCAGATGCATAATGAGGAGGCAGGAGCCACGACATCCTCCTCTGCCCAAGCACAGTGTCAGTACTTGAGAAAACATGAAATAAGGAGAGAAGGATGTCAGGATGAATTTACAGCTATTTTATTTCAGGCTGTCTCAACTAACTTACAGTTGGTAAGGTCTAGGCTACTTCTTAGGACTGTCATTAAGTCAGACCCCATTTTTCATTCTTTTTATGGTTGAGACTTTTTCTTTTGCAGCCATTTAATGTATTTACATTCAGTAAATACTTTTCTATATACTGCAGTTTTTATTGTTAGTGGTGGTAATCCAGTGCAGTTTAATCTCACTGATAACAGCCTCAACATTCACTTTTGACTCTCTATACCTTATTAAAGCTGTATTACCTTAAAAGCGTTCGACTGGTGAGACATGGTAAAACATTTATTGTGAAGCAGCCACAGGAAATGCAGTAAATCTGTCACTGCCACGGCAGCCAGCCAAATATAAATTAAGCAAGCATGGCAGAGGCAGTGTTAAGTACAGAGGCATGTTAATGTTGACATGCACACAAAACTAAAACTGTTGATAACAGTCCAATCTAATTACGTCTCGCCATCTCTTTCATTAAGGCTCTTTTTTCTGCTACCCGCTCTCTCAAAAGAATTAAATACTGTATATGAACGGACAAGCCACTTTACTCGTCAGAGGCCAAGCAGAGATTGAATGGGGATGTTATTTTCTGTTATCTTTTTCACTGGCAGACCGTTTAACGTTGATGGTAATTGGACCGAGTCTAAGAGGATGAAAACTCATCAAAGCTTGTGTTGTATCTATGGCAGATTTAAGGTCTAAAGGAAAGTTTATCTTCAAAGTTTAAGAGAAACTAACTTTTTAATTTCACAAATGTTAGATAAAAAAAAAAGTCCAAATCCGAATCCCACTGTGGTTGGTTCACATACATTATGAACACTCACTCGTGCATCCAGGTACACACACAGGTGGTTTGATTACCTGTTGTTGAGAATAACAGGCAGCAACAGGTCCTGTAGAGGGAGCCATTCATCTACTCTGTTTCTCCATGACTCACACATCTCCTACACACAAACACATAATGTATGCACGCCCCCCCACCCCCCCACCCCCAAAAGAGTGTGAGAGAAAATAGACTTTTTAAAATCATTTAATACGGATGTTCTGGTTAACTGAGTTCAGAAAATTACACATTTAACATTTAATTCCATCTACAGTATTTTTGCTGCAGTTTATTCTCCTGGTATTACAAGCATATCTTAACCTTCATCTCGTAAACCTAGTAAAACTAACGCAGTCTAATACAACAGCCCTGCATTACTTCTACTTTCATGAAGGTTATAAGAGAGGTGCTTATTCAGTGTTATTTCGGAGGCCATAGTTTGTGGTGTGTTGATTTGTATTTATGTATTTTAAATATGCTTCCGTTAAAGTAAAAATCTGTTTATTTTTATGACCTAAAACAACATGTCTTGAGCTAATTTAGTTCACTCCCAAAGGTCAGTGTCACTTTGCCAGTCCATGTTGGGACAAGAAAAAGGAATCCAGAAAAATCTATTATACTCACATATATTTTTTTAGTTTTCTCTAATATATGCCATTTTCTTCCAAAATACTGGAAACTTTAACTTCTAAAATTCTCTAAAATAATTTAAATCAAACCAACAACCAGGCAGGGAAATGCCACTTTTCAACCAAACTGCTCACAAGCCAAGCCCACGCCAAGTTTAAAACCTGTGATCAGGTGTTAGACTGCTTTATTTTAAAAAATTCCAAGTCAAAATGGGTGGAAACCATCACTGTAAAGTATAAGTAGGTCTTTGTTGAGAATATGTTATTTCTGCCCTGCACCTTGAAAGAAAAGGGCTCTGCGAAGTGGATCCTCACAATTCCTCCTGGTCTTCTCCAGAGAAGAGACCATAGCCACTGCAACACAGGCTTCAGGCCAACCTGTGAGGATATGTAACACATACATTCATAAGAGTGCTACATACAATGAGTTAGTGATTGTATCATAATTAGGTCTTTGCCATTAGGATGTACATGATACTAATGAGCACAGTCAGTCTTGGGTGGATATTTACTAAACCTGTCACAAATTAGCCGTGCAAAATTTGGCATCACTGCAATTTTTCAATTTAGCAGCATCTTTACCAATACTTTATTTGAATGCACTTCCACTTCTAAGGACCTGGCGTCTGTACTGAAAGCTTATGGACCAAGATGGAGTGTAGCAAAATATTGATATTTACTGCAAGTATACTGAGATATTGGCTGAAGAGACCAAAAAACATATTTCCAAATTGTAATCACACATCCTTCTGCCAATTAAATCACCTTTCATTTCATTCAGTAACTGAAGCATGGTGTGAGCCTGCATGAGTCCATCACAATCTCCTCTGGCATAAGATGCTATTTACAAACATCCTCTCCTTCCTCAAACATGTTCTTAACAGTGACAACATCTCAAATGAATAACAGCTGCAATGCTGTCAGCAGTGACGCAAATCTGCTTTCTCCTGACGTTAAATAACAGTTCCCTCCACTGCAGCGGTGGTAAATCAGGCACCGAGGGTACTTTCCATGCTCTCCTCCGTTATTTTGTGTCCCTGAAGGTAAATGCCTTAAAATACAAATTGCATGATATCAAACATTCAACTTCCAACAGTGACGCAAAACCTAACTGCAACTCCTTAATAACATACACAATTTCACTGTTCAGCACCAAAAAATGTGCTGTAAAACCTTAGTAAATATCCCCTTAGAGTGTGTATATGAGTAAAAGAATTGTGAGCACAGTGACTGAATGACAGAAGCAAAATGATGAGGCAAGGACCTTATTATGCCAATTAACCGATAGCAACACCCACTCTTCAGTATCATCTCCAAGTGCAAATAACAGGGCAAGACTAATGGAGACTAACAGCAATCACTGTGGCCTTGAAAAAACAAAATGCAAATCTCAACTAATCAACCAACACTGGCGAGTGACAAATTAGAAAGCAAAGTTGTTAAAGAAAACTCTCAAAGCAGTACACAGGATCATTGCTAGCAATTTTGTTTTTAATCTAAATCAGGAGTTTGATGCTGTGGGGCTCCACTTTGACTGAACCTTAGTTGTGTTAAAAAATATTTATGGCGCAACACAAAACAAGGGAGTACAATGCTTGATGCAAATTGCTGCACACCAATGCAAAGTCTTATTAAGTACCTTAGTTGACTGTTAAGGTGTGCCACAGCCTCTACTGCAGCTCCAACTGCTGACCCTACTGGCAAGTGAACTAAATCACTGTGCAAAGCTACAGTAGCTAACCTGTTGTTTTTAAAAGACTGGCATGTACTTATCCCTTTCACCTCATATCACAGTACAGTCTCATATCACATCCTCCGCAACCCCCCCCCAACATGGGAGGATGCATCTCCTAGTTTGAAAGCCCTGTTCTAAAACAAACCTGAGGACATTACAGTTACAGGTGGCTCTTAATAAGTGTGCAAGTGTGTGTTTACATGCATCCACCTGTATGTTGGTCGTGGGAAGACTGTCGTAGGAGATGCCCACAGGGACCAGACTAACATCAGGGACAGATCCTTCTTTAATGAGCTGTCTGATGTGAGCCAGCCACTGCCCACCTTGGCCAGACTTCGCAGACACACCAACGCTTATCGCCTGGCCCTCATGCAGCAGCTCACGTACCAGCTGAGCAGGGAAGACAGATAAAGATGACAGAGACAAAGGTCTGCAAAGTCCTGGCAGTAGGGGAGCAATTAACATTAAATGCCTGCCATGCATTTTTAAAATATACATAAGGAATATAGTAAACCAGACCTGTGAAGCAATACAAAGAGGCAGAAGAACAGAGGGCGGAGGGCAGCTGAGGGAGAAGTCAAAATCCAGGAAGCAGGCAGGATAAAGAGCAGAAATAAAAAGGGACTGTAGGGGACACTTCATGACATTCAGAGATACTTCTCTTGCCCCAAGTACTGTTTTCCCCTCACAGGCAAGGAAAATTCAATTACCATCGAACAGCAGCTAAACAGGCCTACACTCAATAAACAATAAAGGTCTATTAACATTGAAATACAAGCCTGCTTTCTCACGCACAGCCAATATGCTTACTGGTATTGCTGGTACAGTAAACGGTTAATAAAAAAAAAAACCTCACTGCGCCACTCATAAATAACCTGTTTATGTTCTATTGTGGCTGTTGTTTTGTAGATTAATGTCAGACTGAGCCATTTTATTGAGCTGTATAGCATAATATTGATCTTAATAAAGCCAGTAATTCCTCCAAATGAAATACATCTTTAGGCACACCCACACAAAACATAAACAGCTTATTTGTAGACACAAAGACAGGAGGATATTAATGATAAACAGGTGCTAATCAGTGATACATAACAAGTATATGGAGGCATTTGGACAAGAACTGCAAAGAAGGTACCTGAGTAAACTATGATAGATGCAAAAGAGGAGGGAACTGTAAATATAGTACATGAAAATCTCCATAATGAGGGAAAAAAGACAAATTACCTTCCCATAAAGAAAGAAACAGCCTGCTCAGACCTGCCAACACAATCAAACTAACCACCATTCTTCTTGTTTCTCCGCCCTCTCCTCATTGCCTTGTCACTCCAGCCAACTGCAAAGCTGCAATCTCTGTAGCAAAACTCAAGCCCCTTGGTAATTTTGAGAATGAATAGGAAGTGGGATGAGGCTGGGGAGCGAGGGAGAGGGGGAAAGGACAGGCTGTATTCTGACCGAGGAGCTGATTGTGATAGCACTCCACCATGGAGTGGATGAACAGTGTGTGTTTCTCATTGAGGATAAATTGAACTGAATGCACATATGCTAAACAGCCAAATTACAAGGACAGGTATCTTTTGTTTACCCTGCAATTTTATATAATTACCTGTTGTCTGAAGTTCAGCAAAGGGTTTTCAGCAAAATGCAACAGCATCATGTTTTCTGATTCATGCCCCAGTGCTTCATTCCCATTTATAAGTGAACAGGCTGTTTTTGGTTTCACATACGCGGCTAATAAGGAACAGTTCAAGTCAGAATGATTTATAACGAGTGGTGCTTTTGTAGTTGGTGACTCTGAGAAAAAACTTGCATTAAATTTTGACACTAGAAGGAGGCATTTGCATATGTTTAAACTGCTGCTGAAAGACTTCTGTGGCTGCAGGAGCTTTGTAAAATATGAGGATGTTGCTCCATTTAAGTCGGTTTTCATTGGGGTTAGAGACAAATTTCAAATAGAAACTCTGCCTATGGTTGTTGACAGGCCTAGGTTGGCACCACTAACCACAGGCTCCATTCAATGATGATGGCAATAATATCAAAAGATAAAATTCAGACTCTTAGTCTTGCTAGTGGGAGATGCTCTGGTAGTTGGTCCACTACCTTGGTCAAGAAATATCTCAGCAAATATTAGATGTCCTTCCATGACATTTGGTACAGATGTTCACGGGGTACATCCCAGTTCCCTTAATTGCATCTTTGTCTTGAATTGTAGTTCCTCTACCCAAAATGAGCAACTGTCCCCACTCCACTAAAGAGCAATATTTAGTTTTTGGACTTGGGTATTACTGGGTTAGAAGGTCATCATCACTTCAAACTTTAAAGTAAGATAATCCCCAGCCAAAAATATTAAGTACCACCACATCCTACTCCATCTTAGTCTGTCAGTTATCAAAAACAATAGACTTACAGAGGTCATGACAGGTGCATACAGTCTGTCTGTCTCAGCATCCTGCTCAGTCAGTGCTGAAGGTGGTAGAAGGACCACACCTACTTTTTGCAGGATTGATCTATTGGAATAGAGAATATTGTATCTCAGACATCACTGGTTTAATTCAGAAGCATGGAGTCAGGACGCATCTTCACTTTGTGTTTAGAATTACATTGACTGACCTAAACAAACTCCATTATTTGTGAGGGGAGATGGTGTCCAGTATTTCAACTAGCTATCTCAGTGTGCTTTGTCAACTTATATATGGCTTGTGTGTGAGTATGATTACAGTATACCTTAGGAAGGAACTGTTAATCTGGAGGGGACAAAGAGTGTATGGGACTCTCAGGTTTTGACAGAAGAGCACCAAAGGGATAAGAGCACAGTCCATGATGCTCTGACGCACATACACATACACCAGCAGAGATCCCTGAAATACAAAACAGAAGCAGCTTGAGACAATGAAGATTCTTTGCATTGTCATTCACTCTGGAAACCAGTGAACTATGCAGATGTGGTGCATGGATTAGCAGAGTATTTCTGTGGCCTTTTATTTAATCAATATTATAATCAAGCCTCACAAGCTTCACAGAATATCAAATGAAAAAGCTGAATAAAAATTCAATTTGAAACCAGCAATGATTAAAAATAGACAATTCCAGCAGTAATTATATACATGTTTAACCAATTGTATATAGCACAGAAAGTGACAGCATACAATGGCTGTTTTTTTCAAGGTCAAAAAGAGCTTTATCGTTTCTCTATCCCTTTATCTTTGGAGTAGGATCTGTTTCTTTCTATTATTGCAAACTCAATTATGTATCGAGTGAAGTCAAAGTGAAGAGATAAAACATGATTGCATTTTGTTGATATGATAGTGTCACTTCAATAAAAAAGATAATTGGATTCGCAAAAAAAGCCGCAGCAATATTCAAACTGTATAGTAGTCAGGGTATTACTTAGTTTTACAAAACCAAATCATGTTTGCTTTTTATGTTTATTATTGCATCTTATTTAGAAAAGACAGGTATGGTCATAAAGGTTTGGCTCAACCAAACCCTGACTAAGCACTGACAACTGCAAACAATAGGCATAGTGAAATGCAATGTAAATGAAGGCAGGGGATTTTTGTCAGATCTAAGCTAAAGGCATAGTTCACTGACTTCATTGGTGCCCATCTTGGAACTGCAACGGCAGCCTTATTCACTTGTTTTTATTTACTCAACCATGTAATTAGGGTTGTGTAGCCCTGAGTAAAAAAATAAAAAGTAATGAAAAATATAACAGGGGAAACATTCAAAAGTAAACATACATTTAGATATCTTAAACTGAACACATCTACTAAGGCAAACTATAATGTGAAAACATGACTACAGATGATTTAGAACAACCTAATTTCACATCCTGAGTGTGGCATGTGTGTGGAGCCAAGGCATCTTAATACCTCTGTACCTTTCACGTTTTGCTGGAAAAGCTCCCACTATTTGGGGCATCAGTTATGGCCACATTTATACATCTGTTAGTAATCATGCACAGACATTTCATTTGCTTCTATGTGCATATTTAGAGATATTTGTACCTCTTGTGAAGCTCTTTGCAAAGCCACCATATGGTTGAGGTTAACCTGAATACTGCCAAATACGGAAGGAAGCATCTTAAGCATCACCCAGCCCACGAATCTAGTCAGGAGAGAAGAGTGGGTGGAGAGATATATAGAGAGAGAAAATTCATCACTAGAGATACAGAGACCTGGGGTCGATGTACACACTGGAATCATGGACAGATAGTGGTGAAGTTAAATAAAAACAGTTGCCAGTAATGTGATGTCAAACACAGGAGCTTTGGCAATGAAAGTGAGGATGGAGTCCAGCGCGACAACATTTTAATTAGACAGATGGGAGTGTGACAAAGTAGGGAGAAGAAGAATGGGGATAAGAAAGAAATTGATGACATAGGGAAGAAGCAAAATGGAAAACAGCAAAGAGTTGTGTGAGAGAGACAGCAGTAGAGACAAAGGCTGAGGCTGTAAATGAGAGCGAGAGAGAGGAGTAAAAGGAAAAAAGAAAAACAGGGCAGATTTTGAAGAGAGATTTCTAAGACTACAAGAAAACCAAAAGTTTCCTCTTTATTTCACCAGACACTGACAGAATTTCTAACACTGTCTGTGGCTACAGGAACAGGTTCTTAAAACCAGACACAGTTATAACACCCAATTTCAATTTAAAAAACAGTACACATCTTTTCACAGGGAGCAGTCAAGTGTGTTGCATGTCCTCCACTGCAGATAAGACAGGTTTTTGCCTCAACAACTGTCAGTCATCTTGAAGAGCATGACGACTGATATTTGTATGGCACTAGGTTTTTTGGGTAGGTATCTGATGTCCCAGATCTAAATGTCCTGTTCAATTTCTGCACAGATAATGTCATGTTATTGGCAACTGTAACACATGGGTAGGCATTGAAATATTACCAGTTTTATCATCAGTACACACATGAGCAGCTGTGTTAGAACTATCTTCTTCCTTTATAAAAAATTACAATCCTGTGTACACAAAAGAGGAGAATTTTATAAGAAAGAAAATCCCATCACTCCTATTCTACTGCATTGCTAGCACGCTTGGTCCATTTTGCATACATTTGGCAAATATGGTTCATGGTTTTGTTTTTTTTCCTAATTGCAGCATGAATGGTCCTTAATTTGCTACAGCTATAATTCCTGCTTTGCCTGGCTTCTTCTACATAGCAGTGTCAGCTGAAGTTCTAGGGTATGGGAGTATTTAAAGGATAAAAGCTGGCAGCATTAGATGCTTTTGTTATTTTCAATAAATCCCATGAAAAGACAAAGGCCAAAAGTCACTCTCTCAAAACTTTCCAACTTCTCCAGCCTGTCTGCTGCTCTCAGCACTAAATCCATTTGTTCCTTCTGTAGAAACAGATTGAAAAAAATAAACCTAGATTGAAGAAAAGCCAAATATTTTTTTTTCTGAAAGAGCTGGGCACCGAAGTATATTTCCTGGGAAGGACTTTCAGCTGGAAATTTTGATGTGTTTTGCTTATTTTTGGACAACCAGGGACAGTCTATGGCACAGAGAAATATCTGGCTTTGGCTAAACAGACAGTACTTGTTTGTAGGATTAGTTCATTCAATTGCTGCTGAAGGTTTATGTGTTTTTTTTTTCTACATACAAAATATCACCAGCCTTGTCTGATAAGAAATAGTACCAAATCTATCAAAAAACATCTTTTTTTTTTTTATAATGAAGCCAGAATTATTTAAACAGCAAACATAAACCCACAGTATCCTATATAATGATACTTATTATATCAAGTGTGATGTCGAGTATTTTCAATTTTAGGGAGAGTGAGGAATACAACAGGATAAGATAACTTAATTACTGACTCAACTCACTGCACAATGGAACTCTATAGATAATGAGAAGGTACGTCACGCCGCGTTGAATGTTGAGACGGGAGCGCCATTTTTGAGGTACGTGCTGCGTTTACCTACATACATCTCACTTTACTGACTGTGGTAATTCAGAATGGATAACCTTAGCTGACTGTGCTAACTTGGAGCTGAGCTAGAGATCCTGTCTACAAGAGACTGAAAAATGACTTTGCCCACTGATGTCTAACAATAGCTAGCAGCTAAGATAAGACAAACACTGCAGATGAATTCATTTCTGTCCTGTTTGTGCTTAAACTGAATGCTGAAGTGGACATTTGGATGTAGCTGAAGCATCCGTTACTGTATGTAGCTCTACAGGATAATATTTTTTTTTACTAACTTATAGATGAATGTAATGTATATATCTATGATTGATAATGAGCATGATGCTCCAACTTTGCATTCTCTATTGCTTCAAACTAATAAATGAAGTGGAATATAATCTATTTATTTCTTGTTACTACCCAAGTGAAAGGTTTCATAGTACTGCTCTATATTAATACACAAAAGCATTTTATTAATATTAAACTACCTTTGAACCTCGGCCTGTGCCCATCAGCCCACATGCATACAAACATACAAACCGTAAGAGGCCAGGGGAGATCCAAGTGTTAATAAGGGGGAAGAATGGTGAGAGGCAGTTAAGCTTCCTTTGGCCATCTCCCCCCTCAGGTGTTTCATGTTCTGCTCTGAGTGCCGCCTCCACTCTGAAACATATGGTCACAGGACAGCAGGGTTAAAACAGTATAAAGCCTCTTTTGTGCTGCACAGAGACAAACGCTCTCCTTCCACTAAGACAACAACAACAACATCACCGAGTAAAGAGGTTAAATAAAGGTTAAACTCAATTACACTGAAGGAGAGAAAATAACAGATACAAACTGAAGACTTGGTGACAGAGATGGGGAAAGCGTGACGACAGTCCCAAGTTATCCCATTTCTCTTCCTTCACTCTGCACAGACCCCATGAGAGCTTTCATTTTCTGTATCTTTGTTTGTGTCTCTTATCACCTCTCCTCCTTTCTCTAGAACTGCAGGAGCCTGTTTCATTTTCTGTATCTCTGCCTATCATTTATTTACGCCCCTTTGGCATCTATACTGCTTTCCTTCTCCTTTCCTTTCCCCTCAGGTACCTGTTGCTCTGACAGATTCTGTCCAGTCTGTTGTTAACTGGACTCACGTAAACCTTGCACCCACTCACAAACAGTGCGCAGCACATCCTGCGTGCCAGCCAGCCTCGATACCTAGGATAGTAAACACACAATGCAGAGGCAGAAAACATGTATATGTGATTGTGCTGAACTGAAAAATGGTGCATATGTTTGACTCAACACTTCAGATACTGTCAATACCTGGTGTCTGTCTCATTAACACTCAGCAGGTTGTGGAAGCCAAGGGAATAGTTCTTTTCAAATTTCTTGCACTAAGCCACAACAGAGAAATAGACAAACGACCTGAACATCACCATTGACCTGGACTGATCCTATGCACTATAAGAAAAGACGCATGCAGCTGAAAGATGCAATCTAGGAAAGCATTTTAAAATTCACTAATCATGCTTAGTGCATCATGTAGAGCTCTGTATCTTTTCAGTCACTAAAATAGTTTCTTTCTGTAATTTTGATTTGGAAGCAAATCCACTCCACAATATTACAGCAGTTCAGTTTGCAGGAGGGTATCAACAGACCATTTACTTCTCTAATTCTTCTAATTTTCTACCTTCTCTTTCCTCTCCTCTCTATAACCACTTTCGGCCTCTACTCTGCACACTCACCAGACTGTCAGGGGTGCACTGGTGGCAGCGCTGGCCCACAACTGGCCTCAACTTGCCAAGACAGAGAGGCACAGTCTTGAGCTTTTTCTTGATCTTCAAATCCCATGACAACTAACGGAGAAGAAAACACACACAAACAATACACACAGTAGGGATTGCAACCACATCTACATTATTATATCCAGTTTATGAGGTACACCTAGCTCAAAGTGATGCAGTCTAATACAAGAGTCCTGCAATAAATCCTACATTAATAATGCTCAACTGTTGTTGAAATAGATTTAGAGTGGCACTGATTCAATTGTGTGATCAATTTGGAAGCTGCAGTATGTGGTACTATTCAACTGAACTGTTGTTGAATTTTATCATTTATTATTTTGTCCAGCCCAATTACATCAGCAAGAGCTGGTTAACAGCAGAAGCGCCTCTCTGAACAATGCAGTACAGTTCAACGGCAGCACAAACGACAGCCTCCAACAAGACAGTAAATTGGAATCAACAACTCTAAAACAGCTTCAACAAAAACTGAACATATTCACCTTCATAAAGGTAGAGTTTGATCATCAATTGGATTTCATTTTGAGTTCATTTTGAGGATTTTTGTGATGCTGTGATTGGTTTAACTCGGGATCCAGTTTACAACTTGCAGTGCAGAAAATATTAATACAGGGTCTATATGAAACCCAGTATCAGGCATTCAGTGCACATAAGGCATAAACAGCTCATGCGCTGAAGCACAGACTGCGTACTGTATACTAATCAACATGACTTCGGGTCTCCTGTAGCAAGCAGACTGCTGGTCAGTTGTACTAATTAATATTTATGTTATGCAATACAGCAACACCCATTAATTATCATGCTGTATGAGGGCTGTTACTCTGTCCTAATTAAATATGTAAGTGAGGATTCAGACTCATTACACCATATAGACAAAATGAGATAATGAATCTTCTAAAATCAATGACACTTTCTCTTGGTTGAATCATGATGATGGATTCCAGAAAACAACACTGCTGACTGAAACCAAGAAAGGTCGATTTAATGACAACACATTACTGTAATAACAAAGCTTGAATTGAACTATCCATAATTTAAATGACTATACTAGTTCAGAGGAAAGGTATAAAGAAAGGCAGGTGAAGTAGAAACACAATGATACAAGTATACAGGCAGAGTTTTAGTATTATAAGGCTAAGACTACATACCAACCTATGTACTAAAGGAATAGTTGAGAAATTGAGAAATAAGCTTATGCCCTACGTTGATCGTTTAGATACCAGGGCCAGGACAGGGCCACGCTATCATATGCAAACTCGACAGTTCAGTGTTTACTCCAAGCTAAGCTAAGAGCCTCCTGCCTCCAGCGCCACACTTTTAACACAAACACTGTGTTAACACCGAGACTGGTAAAAATGTTCTCTAGCTGCAAATAATCAAGTATATTTTCCAAAATGTCTAACTATTCATCTTAATGTTCTGCTTATCAGTAGGACTCACTAATACCTCACATTTATTAATTTGGTGCACAAACAGAATTAAGCACATGGGGCAAGGCATGTTCTTATGTGATTGTGAAGAACAAAATGTCTGAGATTTATGCACATGGAGAAAGAGTTAAATGACAGTGGGAGAGAGTCATGCATGCGGTGTTCTTACAGCAGGTGTATTCTGTTGAACTGGCAGGAGTGCCATGTCTTTGTTTATCCCGTTGCTCTTTTCCTGCACCATGGTGAGTCTCCTGCAGACCTTTACTCAGAAATCTATTAAAGAAAAGATTGAAGAAACCGAGTATAAACATCATGTTAAAATAGTGCATTCTCACACTGTGTTGTGAGTGGGTAGTAATTCCAGTAGCTTTATAAGACCAAGCTTTGAGAAAAGGCAACATGTATCCAGTATAAGAGAGTAAACACACAAACACACAATCTCAGTGTGACACAAAATTCATGTTGTCCTCTGGTCCTTGGCAGGGGAGTGTTGGCAGCACTCACTGATCTATCACCTGGTGCCCATAGCTACAATTTCACCCATCTAAACAGCAGTTCTTTCCCTCCACAATCACAAATTCTCTGGCTCTTAACCTTCCCTTCATTCTTTTCATTTTAAATGAAAAACGGCATCTTGCTGCCAGTTTCTTTGTGTTGGTTTCACATTGTTTCCCTTTACTGGGCTCCTGGTAAACTTTAGTTTAAAAGTTTTGTGCACACTTACATATGCAGGTAGGAATAAAACAATAACAGAACTGTCTTTAAGAGGTCAGACACTGAGGGGAACTCAGGGGTGCCTGTGATCAGCAATTTACAGGTGGAGCAGGGCAGGAACTCACTAGAGGGTTATAAATCATTCAAAGCCATCAGATGAAAAACAGCTCTTATGCAACTGATTCTGGTCCCTTGCCCACTTGGAAATCTAGTAATGAGAGTTGGCAGCATAGACCACAATGTAATAGGATCTAGTTTAAATAGGTTGCCTAACTGATAGCACTGGCAGTGTCAGGGCTCAAATGAGTAATCATCTGAGATTAAGGTAGATTTAATACAGATCAAGAGCCCGTGAACACACAGCAAAGAGACCGGTGCCAATAAAAAAGCCACAATCCTGAGAGAGCTTCCACTTAGTCTTACTCAAGGCTTTGTTTCTACTACTGTCATCATGTGGCACGAACTTCCTTCTAATGAATCTTTCAGTGGTTACACCCATCAGATCTAGGAGTCTCATTAGGTTCAATAGGAGACTTGTGATGTCTCCTTCTCTGCCCCATTAATTTAGCAAATTATAACTTAAGCCTTGTCCATTGGGAGATGCTCCATTTCAACAGGCTCAAGTTCCCACATTTTTTTTTACCGGCTCTACTGAGAATGAAGGCACTAACAAGAGGTTCCCAATGCTTTGTGATGCTTCGCAAGTGCAGAGGCAAAAAAGTGGGGAGTAAAGGGTGTAAACCTGTAAATTGCACAGCCAGAGAATCAGCAAATGCTCTAATGGAGTTATAAAAGCAACTCCAGAAGGAATACAAAACCACAGCTAGAGGCCCCAGTACACCAAAGACAGAATGGCATATCAATGAGTTTCAGTACACTAACCCTTTCATCAGGTTAATTGATCAATTATAGTCTTTAATTAAAAGGCTGTAGTTTGAGAATTTTATAGCCCAGTTCTAACAGGGCCGGTGCTGAGAAAGGATTAACAATCATGAGTCATTATAAGCTGCCAGGTCAGATTAGACTGAAGGTGAGTTAGTCTTGGTTGGTGCATTCAATTCCCAAAACTGCTCAGTGATTAGTGAGGGATTTAAATACACTTAGCAGCTACTCTGAAAAGCAGCCAGCTCTGAAGAGTTAAGAATCTCAACTGATTTCTCATCAATATATTTTCAACAACTGAGCCAATCTGCACACATGGCAGGAAACCTTTTCTTTTCCAAAAATCTGTTTACAGATACAGATATAACGTACTCAACTGCTCAAAGATCACACATGAACAAGGCACAAAATGTCAAGGCAACAGAGGAACCCCAAAGCCATGCAGTATGTTCCAGATGAGCTTTAAACAACCTGAACTGAAAATACTAAAGAGCGGCAGACAAAAGCAAATAGTCTACACATCACATACACCAAGTTCTATTTAACCACCACATTGACAGCAAACTGTACTTCACTGAGTGAGTTTATTTAATAGAGTGATAACAAGACCATGTTAGCTTCATGTTTGCTAGCTGCAGGTTCAGAGTAAAATATATTCAACTAAAAGAACTTAGCATCACTGCCAAATCATCACTTATTTAGAAAACCTTCTCTGCTGCTGAGCTCCAAAATGGTGCTGCTCACATCAGTAATAATTTTCTCACCAATCCAGTTTGTACAGATGCATATAAATTTGGTTTCTTCTCCTTATTTGAAATGCGCTTGTTGACCTTTTTGATGGTGAAAGATCAACCCAAACCTGTGAGTTAGTTCTTACAAAAATCAGGTCACCCTTTCTCGAGTACAACTAATTAGCCTAACGACCTGTCAATCAAACATCAAGGACAGCACAGGAAAGAGCAGTAATCCATATTTCTGTGTGATAACTCTTTGTGACTTGTTAAACCCAGCATCTCCATATAGAAACAATAATGATCACTTTCTACTGAAAACAGGAGCAATTAATAGTAATTAATGATGTAGACCAGACCACAATACAATTTAATAGCTGTTTGACAATGCTAATAATTTGGAGTTTCTGTATTTTTAAACGGCATCTAACAGGAATGGGTACATATGGCAATAAACAGATTAAACTAATCTCCCTCTCATTTCTCGATTGGTGTTTACAAACACATGGTAACAATGGAGTATAAATCAGGGCAAGGATTAATAAAGCAGTGTTGTTATGATGTTTGCATCCGCAGCACAAATTACTATTGCACAGCATGCAAACTGGTGGAAAGCAGACAGAGCGGCACTACAATAAAATGAATAACAACAATAAAAGCCACTTGACAGTGGAAACATGTTGAATATTTGGTAAAAACATCAATATTGTGCAGCTTTAAACAGGAATGAAACCAATTTCATTGTTAACAGGGACAGTTTGCCTTAATACTAAATCCAGTATATCACCACAGGTCAAGTGTATCAGAGGTTGACATTTGTTGACAATAACCACTCACTTACTGTAGTTATGTGGTGTGAAAACATCCCCCAATCTGTGACTACAATAACTGTGAACATATTTGCTGCTGACATATAATGCCTGCTAAAAATAAAACTTCTGTCTCAACATTGTTTGCAAGGAAGGCATGAATGACAAAATCCAGTGGTATGCAGTGATGATAGCGCATCTTTGACATGCTTATGAGAATTCCTAGTCCTGTTCTCACAACGGTGTGGCAACATACACATTGTGCTTGACCAACATCTCCTCCTCTCATGCTAGTTTTGATGTCACCTGTCAGGATGGGAAAATTGATCTCACTGATGTGTTGTGCTCGGGAAGACCTGCAGGTAGCTCAGCTGCTAATCAAATAGTAGCAGGCAGTAGAGATGCAGGGGTAAACTTTAATCTTTTAACAGCTTTAATAGCAGAAATTGGTCAGTACCTTTCTATTTGGCTTCAGTCGGTACAAGGAATGTGTATGTGATATATGCGTTTATTAGCTTATATTGAGTACATGTGTTATTTTCTTCATTTACCACAGAGCCATCAATTCATATTGGCATTTGCAGTACGTGCACCTCCAATTAAAAAACAGATTATCATATCACTTAACAGAAAAAGTTAAATTGGAAGTACTAGGGTGAGCACATTCAGGCTAGATCGACATGATTTATTGTTCAAATATCTCATATGTTATTGGATATGATCTTCTCTTTGTGTGATCCCATGCTTCTAGACACCAAAGGCAAGCACCAGAGTTCAAAAGATAAAATATGTGTGGGAGATGGAGAGAATCAGAGAAAAAGAGTAAATTAATGTGAATTTTACTGTTCTTTCATGAAATAAAAACATTAAAGAGTGCACAAAACTGTACAAGATATGATTATAGGAAAACTGGAGGGGGAAAGGAAGACAGGCTTGAAAAAAAGACATCAGGCTGTTTTTCACTAACAGGATCTGATGATAAATACACTGATCATCATGTTTTTGACTAACAGGATCTGATGATAATTATACTGATCACTGAGCTGTTTCTATCTGATACTGTCAGACAAAGAGGTTGCTACCTCACACAGAATTCAGAAAAAAAAGCAGAGTACTAATTACACATCAGATATCCATCATCTCTCCCCTTCACACCTCCATATTCCTCCCTCTCTCCTACATTTTAACAAGTTTCATTTTCCCTTGACAGAAATGATGTTATACATAAGACCCCTGTGCCAACATTCCAGGTTGAATCTGCAAGAGGTAAAAGGTAGGGCTGGATAAAAATGTAAATCTTTCAATTAACTGTGATTCTTGTTTGAATGATTCAGTTATCAGCTCTTGAAATCCCAAGACTGATCTTTGCATTTGCTCCTTTTCTCCACAAATGTACATTTGTGCTAAATGTTATGTGTATGCACAGGTATAATATATGGACGCTATGGCAGTTCCTAAAGTGAAGCTACCGCAACTCAAACACCGTCTGGTGGCTGGTTGCAGCATAGGTCATAAATCCTGTCCTCTCCATGTTAGATAGAGGATGGCACATGAGCCATATTAAAAACCTAAAGTACAAATCGGATACATTTTTTCCAGGGGTGATTTCTGTCATTGTTGATAGATATTATCACGCCAATGTGTGTACAAGTGGTCATTTTTCTGGTAAGGTTGTTTTTAAATAAGTTAATTGGTGATATATAAAGAATTGTATTTTGGTTGATTTGACAGTTTTGATTGGTGGTCTGATATAACACACAACTACTCAGTAACTACTAGGGATGGGCATTTCAAGCTAAAAAAGCTATTTGATATTTGCTAGGAACTATTTGACCATTATTCAAAGGTCACAGACACCCTGCATCGCTGAGAGTCACACTCCACGTTGGCTAGCTCTTTATTGCTAATGTTATAATATATGGGAAGAAGGGAGGGAGAGGAAAATTCACATACAATATTCACCCCTGTCAGCTCACAGGCTCCTCATTGATCCCATCTAATGATGATCACATCTCAATCTCACAATCTGACATATTAGCAAAGACCTCTTAGCCCTATTGATTCTTAAAGTTGTGATCATGAGACGTCAGTAAATTGTAAAAAAGTAAAGCCAAAATATTGCAAATATGGAAACTGG